GGGGGGGGGGGGGGGGGGGAGTGGGGGTGGTTCACTGCCTATTGTGGACTATACAGGGAGCTCTGTGTGAAAGGAGCTAGTGATTTTACAAGTTGGTTTAATCCTATTTAGGATCCTAAGGATGTGGTAGGATCCTGTGGGTTCTTGTAGGAATTTTGAGGATTCTAATAACGAATGGTATGTAAGTTAGGATGCTGGAGAATAAAAAGGATCTTGTAAAAACTAACATAGGATCCTGTAGAAGATCCTGTGGAATCCTACAGGATCATATTTCAGGATCTTGTAGGATCAAGTATATCCTACAGAATCTTACATGTGATCTTACGCAGGATATTAGTTGATGGTATGCTATTAGGATCCAGGGAAAATTTCACGGTAGTTTAAAGGGTTAGGTTAATCGTTATTCAGTTATTTTAATTGGAATTCAAAATATTTGAGCAGCCATACAACACCTGATTAATAAAAGTACTTTTTGCTCAAGTGAAAGTTTAGTAAAAGTCGCTCAGTTATTAGCCAAATTGGCTTATTACCTTTCCTTTGACCACTTTAGCATGTGAAAGGGGCACCATTTTTTAATGGATGGATATGAAAAGGTTACCTTTTTTGTGGTGTCTCCAATTGTCAAACTTTGTCAGTTACTTCCCCTTTCCCAGGTGTTATTTTTGCATGTAGGGTATTTGAAAGGGTGACCTTTTTGGTGAACAATGTTATTGGCTAGGAGACTGGACCTCCTTGAGTTATGCCCCCATCTTGAGTAAAGCTCCATTTCACCTTCATCCCCCTGCTATAGGAGTTATATTGCCTGCAGGTCTTTGCTACGATGCTATATATGTTGCAGGTTTAATTATACCATCAGGATAAATGTTTGAAAAAGGGCCAGTTTACCCACTTAGATATCAACGCCGCCCCCCCCCCCCCGAAAATATCTGACCAATAAATGTTGGAAATAATCCTTAAGAAGCAACAGCAGAAGAGTTTCATCATGTGCCTGCTGGCTATCTGTTGTGTCTTTAAATTTACCCAGACTTCCGTCAGGCTAAGAGTTTATTTTGGTTTCTGTAGCATTTGTTATTAGAAGTAAGCAATTAATTCCCCTTAGACAATGCTAGTACATCGTAGAATTGCCCTCAGCATTAAATATGCCGGTATCCATTTATACACCTGGGTGGAGAGAGGCACTGTGAGAGTAGTGTGTCTCCCATGAACACAACACAATGACCTTGACAGGTCTTGAACCGGACCGCACAATCCAGAATGCAGCTGTAATTGAAAGTGTGTTTCTCTTGTAGGACTTGTCTCCATCAACCGTAGTTTCCACATCACAAGGTGCACCAGCACAGGAGTCTGACCTAACGTTAGGAGTGACTGTGTTGGCCAGTGGGTGGAGTTCATCTAAGAGAGGCTTGCCAACCGTAAACAGAGAGCTTGCCATGCAGTTAGCTAAACACGATCAAGTAGAAGTTACCATCCTTGTCCCAGAGTCTGTCTGTACTGAAGAAGAGAAAAGGTTTGCTAGGAGCCGCAACATTTCCATTAGAGAAGCAGAGAGACGTCCAGGTTACGATCCCCTTGACTGGCTGAGTTTCCCACCAAGAGACCTTGCCATTGACATTGTAGTGGGCTGTGGAGTGAAGCTTGGTAAACAGGCCCAGGTCATTAGAGTGTCACACAGATGTAAGTGGGTTCAAGTAGTTGATACTGAGCCTGAAGAACTCGGAATGTACAAAAGCTATCCTGGGGCCGTTTCCAGTGGTGAAGAGAAGACCATATCGGTCGTAGACTTGTGTAAATTGGCAGATGCCATTGCAACAGTTGGACGCAAGATGAAGGAGGCATACTCTTCCTCCCTGTACGAGTGCAAGAAACACCAAGATATCATTCAGCTGACTCCTGGCACGTTCGGTGAATTTTCGGACGTAACGCAAGCAACAAACGGCGGTGGCAAGTTTAAGGTGTTGGCCTTTGGCCGTGGTGATCCTGAGGACTTCTGTCTCAAGGGATACGACATTGCTGCTAAAGCAATAGCTGAACTGAAAGACAACTCGTACTGTCTAATTTTTGTTGGTGCACCTGATGGAAAACAAGAAGCAGTTGCTAAAAACTTGATTGAGAGTGGTATTTCTCGACGCCAGCTGTATGTCAGAAAATTTAATCAAAGGAAGGAAAGAATGAAAGAGTTGTTTTGTGAAGTTGACCTTGCCATCATGCCATCCAGGACAGAAGGATTTGGACTAGTTGCTCTGGAAGCCTTGTCTGCTGGTCTTCCAATTCTTGTGAGTGGAGACTCGGGTTTTGGATGTGCACTGCGCACTCTACCATCAGGCAACTCAGTTGTGGTAGACTCTGAGGAACCTAAAGATTGGGCAAGGGCAAGTGCTGGTGTCCGTCAGAAAGACAGAACAGAGCGCCTTCAAGAGATTGAAAAGTTGCGGAAGTGTTATGAAGAGAAATTCAGCTGGGAGAAACAGTGTGAAGCCCTTGTTGAGATGATGCAGAGAATCGTTCGTGGTAAGACTTTCATTGAATTCCTTTGTTTCTTATATCCAGTAGAGTTGAACTGATGATGTTGTTTCAATACCTCACTATCCCAAGATTAAGCTCCGGGCTCTTCAGTCTGGGATGTTGGCATTATTTTAAAGGAAGATTATGAGGAACGGGAGGGGAAGGTAGTGGAGGATGATATGCCTCCTTCTTTATTGCTGCAGATAAGAAAACCCTTTGGTTGTTCGTGAACGAGAGAAACAAACCATAAACCTTAACATGTAATTTAGTAAAACGCTAACAAATTTAAAATTTTTAAAATAAAGATACTTGTGGGCAGCACGCAGCAACAACTAATGATCTTGTACAACTGAGTTTATCAATCGACCGGTTTCGTCTGCTAGTCAGACTTTGTAAACCCTTTGGTTGTTCGTGAACGAGAGAAACAAGCCATAAACCTTAATATGTAATTTAGTAAAACGCGAAACAAACTTTCCCCTTGTTAAGCAAACATAAAACACGGCACAATATGCTGTAGAAATATAAAACAAAAGAAAGAAAGAATTGTCACTCTTATAGTGGTACTATGATCAAATTTTTACCCCTTGAATTTATAGGTGTATCACACAGAATTACCGCTTTTTACCGTTTGCAAATGTCTGCATTAGTTCCGGAGATATTCAAGTTTGAAAAATGTGTAATATATGTTGATGACGTCATACACTCAACCCAAAATTACATCAAGTACATAAATAGAGCTATCCAGCAGAAACCATTGAAACTTGGTAGGCTAATAGTTCTACAGCAACTCATCTATGGCTATAAAAATACTGTTCCCATGTCAACTCACTTTTCTCCAGTCCCCGCCAACCTGATTTCAATATTTTAGTGATTTTCAGCTCGAAAAACATTAAACAAGGCCATGAACTCGCTTTAACATATTTATATGCCTGCTGGATTATGCATATGAGGCACATTAGCAAATATCATAATGGAACGCCAGAGGTGGCCAGAAAAGTCTTTAATACCGGGGAGGTCTGGAATCCATTATGTTGCCTTGATAACAAAACTGCTAAGCTCATATTGTGGGGCACATTTAGTAGAATCTTACGGCAAAGAATCAAATATTTCTGATACAAATTGGTCGAGATAGCTTTCTTCATCATATGTGATCAAAATTTGGTTGAGTTTATGACGTCATCACTCAGCTAATTTGCATATTTTAAAAACTTGAATATGTCTGAAATAAAAGAGATATATGAAAATAGTAATCAGCATTTTTCTTCCCACACAGAATACGTGTTTATATTTTAAAACAGCGTAGATAGGAGAGATGCGAATTCCATCATAGTGAAAGATAAACGTGGTACACCAGCATTCTTGGAGGAATTTTGCCTAAGATGTGAGGGGTTCAATTTTTCGGGGCAAGATATTTTATTTGCAGCCTTTTCAAAGTTGTTACTGAGATGGACTTGGTCGGTAAACCATCGGAGATTTGAATGTCATATTTGTGTGAAAAAATGGTCTCGATGGAATATACTACCTTCTGCACAAATGTTTTAAAGGTAACGTACCAGCGTTAGATTTTCTTCAGTGATCCTCTCGTAAAGAAGCTGTTGAGCGGCATCAGTAGCCAAGCGCATTTCACGCTGTGATACTGGAACACGATGAGGGACGAGCCATTGTTTTTTTGAGGGTGGAGGGAGGGGGGTTAGGCGATTTTCTGGGGCATGAAATTTTTTTCACGCCCTTAAGTTGGGCATGATTGCTTTTGGATGCCCAGCTCCCCCTTTCCCCCCCAAAAAATAGTGGTCCGCCCCTAAACAACGGCGATTCGCAGAGGTCATTTATCCGTGTAAAGCAATAGGAGACGTGTACATGAAGGCTATACAGTTAAAAGCTTGACTATTTAACTCTGGTATTTACCAGGACATAAGCACAAGGATAACGGTAGTGAGGACGCTCGCAACACAAGCATAAGCATGTAGGCATGCGCAGAATGGATAACTGCCTTATTTTCGGTTCCATGACTCCTCGATTTAGTAGAAAAAGATGGCGGACTTACGCTTTTGCTTATGCTTGAGTCATAAATGAAAACCAGGCTTAACAATTACTCCACAGTAGCGAGTGACATAGTTTCGTTGCACGCCAATAAAAAAAAATTGAACATGATTAGCTCGTTAAAGATTTTCCTTTTTTCCTTCCTTTCTTCCCTCAAGAACTAATATTATTGTGAGGAGTCACCAGACTTTGTTTGCGTCCTTTATTTAATGCCTGTCATTGTAATGTGCCATTTCGGAGTTGCTTTTTGACTCAGTGTTAAAATGAGTCTTCGTGCTAAATTATTCATAAAAAAATGTGTTTCACCTGTTCCTGCATTTTTGTGCAAATGAATTTCTTTTTCATACGAAAGGTTTTGAACTGGGCGTTACTTTGTTGTCTTGTTTCTGATTTGTCTTTAACCTGAGGATTAGTCTCTCGTTTGTTGCTTTTTTTCCCAAAAATCAGTTCAACCACACTCTTTAACTTTAATCTCAACCCTAAACCATCGATTGTAACCACATAATCTGAATAATCTTGTTCATTTTCACTTGTATCTTGGCAAGAACCTACAGAGAAATCAGTTTGCCAGCTTTCTGATCACGCACCACGGAACAACGCTGGCATTCCCACTGAAAGGCTTCTTAAAACCCTCCCAAGGAAGGAAAGGGAACCCACGATCACAGACTTTGGTTTGGATCCAAAGAAGCTTGGACGGACGGACGTTGCAGACAAAATTGTGAAACACTTTTGACCATCAGAAGATCATAAAGGTAACCTGATATAGATAGCTGACACCAATGTGTGACTTACTTGTCTTCCAAGCCTAGGGAAATCCCTGTTGAATAGGTTTATACAGAATGCAGTTTTGGGCGGCTGAAAAGAACTACTTCACGGATGGTACATCTTACAATTTTTGACCTTAAATTTTCACCTTAGTTCGTTATCCACCGCGCCGGTATCGTAGAGGTCGTGAGTTTGTTTCCCGTTTAGCCTCTACCGTATTTATTCGATTAAACGCGGCTCTTGAATAAACGCCGCATTTTAGAGCAGAAATATTAATAAACGCCGCCCTCGAATAAATTCAAAAAGCAGATGCAGTAATAATCAAGGTTGAGCAAGCCTGAAAAATTTACTTTCATTGACTGTAATACTTTTTTAATATCAGTACATTGGAAGCTCAAAGGAATATAATCAAAATACGAGAACAATATATGGTAGTTCAACTTAAACAAGTTTATTTATGTAAAATTCCTGTATTTATTGTGAGATATTTTTAAACTCATTGTAAAGCGCTATTGGATAGTGATAGAAATAGCGCTCTATAACTATATTATTATTATTATTATTATTATTATTATTATTATTAATAATAATAAACTCGGGAACTTGTAAAGTTTACTTAGCATAAAGTGCTGCGGTCTAATTATTGTTAGTATGATTTATTTCTCCCTACCCCATCCCCTTCTTTTACTGGATTTAAGTTCAGCCCGCCAGTCAACAATCGAGCGTTCGACGTTTGAATTAAGTTGCGCGCGGTGAGTCGGTGACTTTGAGAAGGGATCTGATCAATTTAGCAAATCCAGACATAAATAAGTATAACAGAAGAACAATTACTTATGCTTACACACTGTATCAGGAATAATTTTTGGGGGGGCATTCATTGGATCCTCTAATAAGCATTTTCGGAAAAAAGGCCGCGAGTGAGAGTGCACATGAGAGTCTACACGATTGCTGCCGATCGCAACCGAATGCTGCTGAACGTACCACCGAAGTTCTGCCTGGTCCAACGCACTCTCAAACGTTCGATTCCAGCTCTAAAGCAAAGATTTTAGCCACATGACAATACGATTTCTTGTTTTGATCCGACGAAGAATCTTGTTTCCACTTGTGTTTAGGTTACTTCCACCAGCAAGAATTCAGAATGTTCAAACTGAATGTGATGCCGACAATCCGACTTGAGAGTTGCTTATCGCGAAAACAAAGTGTCATCAGAGAGTTAAGACAAATTCTTGAGAGGGAAGGGAAGACTGAGCGTGCAAAGAAATTCAAGAAAGCGATTCAGTGCTACAGCTCAAGTTCTAGATGAAAGATGTTTCATTTATTTGGTTTTTGGTTTTTCTTTTTCCCTAGTTGTGTCCTTTTCGAGTTAGTTTCTATCTGATGGAAGATAGCTCCGATTTAATAACATTTTATGCAGTGCTAAATAGAGATTATGTCTTTTTAGCTGTTAGCCTGAACGTAGAGTAATTATAGTTGTTAAACACGATACAATGTGAGCTAAAATTTCCGAAAGGTATGCTCAATACTGCTATAGACCTTTCCCGTATTCCACTTCACTGCATGCTATAAGTAGTACCCAAACGACGTTGGTGTGGACAATTTCATTCATTTCTTGTTTTTTTATCTCCCCCCAACCCGATCACGGCTTAGCGCCACTGTTGGAATGCGGGAAAGTTCTGTTGAATCTTGTTCAAGTAATAAGCAGTCGTATATTTCTTATACACATTTCCTTTTTATCTCTGCAGCTCGATAGAAACGGGTAAATTAAATTCCCTCAGCCTGGTTTGTCTCTAAAAACGATTTAAACTGATTCGGAGGTCTTTTTCCTTCTAGATTTAGTGGGAAGGACAAAATCACTTTTAATATACAAAAAAGCCAAAGTGTATAGTATATTAAGAGGGACTTAAATACTGTCCCACATTGCGCGTTCGTGAATACGGAAATTAAACGCCTTTAGCGGGCCCAGTTCGGACGTCGTGCTTCTGCCGTGCCGAAATTAGGTTTGACTGTAGCACTACAGAAACACGACTCTGTTTCAGACGTCGTGTCAGAGTCGTACCAAATTTAGAAAATACTGAAGCTTCGTAACAGTTCTCCTCGTAACTTCCCGCTGGAACTCAATTCCCCAAAATACATTAATTCATTTATGAATTTTGTTTGGCACGGCAGATGCACGGCGTTTCAATCCAGCGTCGTGTAGCACGGCAGAGCTTGTCGAACTTAATTGCTTGCCGAACTCAAAAGTTCAAACTTCAAACGAACTTCCTAAGTTTGATTTAGACGCCGTACTTCTGCCGTACTTTTGTCGAACTTGATTGCTGAATTTAGTTCAGCACGGCAGAAGCACGATGTCTGAACTGGGCCTACGCGAGGATTTTTCCTGAAGTAACTTGGAAAAGGAAAATCATTTTTCTGGGAGGGAGGGCGTTAGTTGCACTTTAATTTGCCCGTAAATAGATATTTTGAGTTTATAGCCTGCTAGGTTATAAGAAATGAATGTAGTCAATGAAATAGTGAAGCTGTTGATAGCGTTCGTGCAAAAGAAATTGTACGACAAGGTTTTAGTTTTCCTAACCAAGGTTGTAAATTTTAAACTTTTTAAGCAATGGCGCGATAGACTTCTCGCTTTCTTGTCATTATTCTTTACCATTAATCACTTTTAAAGCGTCCGATTGGACGACTCTTTTTAGTGACTGGTGCTGTGCCATTGCAAGAGAGGATCATAAGTAAGAACTTTTATTTAAGTGTCAATGTATTTAGCCCATGTGGACTAACTGGGGACACTGTATTAACTCTACCTAAAAAATTTCATTAATAATCTCTTAGTTTACAGATGTGTTGTATCAAAGGTAAAATTCGATTAAGTACAGTTCGCACACAAGACAACATAATACTTTTATCGGAAAGCTGTAATTCGGTACTTGAGCTGTTCACCCTCCATTTAGTCAAATAAGCTGCGGATTCGAAGAATTTGTTACTGATATAATTAGCCTAGCGCACTTTGAAGTCAGGATAACTGTAATATAATGCATGTGAAAACAAGGGATCAACGCAAACTAGGGGTTGACACATACCGGCATAATTTCGAACATAATACTATATGTGGAGCATCGAGCATAATGCCGGCATAATAGTGCATTTTGCCGGCATAATAGTGCT